TCTGATGCTCACTTAAATGAAAGATCAGTTGAATTGACTTATCCAATATCATAAGTGATAATAAAGAAAATTTCTTCTGAGATTTAAGAAAAGCAAAAAGACTATTTTAATCAGGCAAATCCATTTTGAGAAAAGGATTGTTTTCTTTTTAAACTTTTTTGATAAAACCTTGAATTGTTTCCCTTTTTCAATTTTTTTTTTTTTCCTTTAATTTAACAATTCATAATTTATGAACAATCTATAGTAACAAACTGTTGATGATGAATCTAGTGGATAGAGATTAATACCAATCCTTTAGAGAAGTGAAATATTGTTTCTTAAACCTAACTTAGAGTATTTTGATACAATGATGAGTTAGTGATTATATGAAAAATTTGTAACTTCTCAATAAAGATTAAGTCATATAATATAATTGTGAATTAAAAAAATAAAATAAAAATAAAATATAAAAAGATCATACAATTAAATAAAAACAAGTGCAAAGAATATATAAAGAAAATAAAATTAAAAAATTATTAAAATTACTTATTTAAAGAACTTTAGCAAAATTAAAAAATAAAAAATAAAAAATCTTGTAATACTTATAATAAGTAGAATTAAGTATAAAATAAAATGATTGGATTTTAAAATTTGAAAAAATTAAGACGACTTGTAATTAGTAATATTAATAATTGAAAGATAATACTTAAAAGTATTTAAACAAAGTCGAGCAAATTAATTAGAGATTAGCTTTAAAAATATTTATAATTTACTAATTTTAATAAAATATTCTTTAAAAAATCTTTTTTTTTAATGTTAAATCTTTTTTATATATTTGTATAGTATTAATTGTTACGCATCAAATGATATTATAATTGTCTCCTATGATAAGATATTATTTTTATCTGGTTTCAAGTTTTCCTGATTACGGACTAAAAGGGATTTGATGTCAAAGATAAGTGAGATATTATAAATTTATTATTGTTCAATAACGGAGTGACACAAGTTATACAAGTTATTTATTTATGTAATTTGAATTGTGAAAGAATTACGCACGTACGCATGACGTTAAGAACCAGTAATTCAGCAAATTTGGCAAGAGATAACGAAAAATGGCATTTTCCTGATCATCAGAAAAATCTTATCATGGATGTGCATGCGTGCGTGTGTGCATGGCGTGTGTGCATGGCGTGAATAATTTCTTCTCTCTTCTTCGCAATTATTTCCTCCTTCACATAAAAAAAATGTTTAAACAACTATATTCCCTTGCTCGAATAAAGCATACCTCATACCCTAACTTCTGCAAATTTTCGCGGCAATACCATTCTTCAAAGAAAGTGCTGGGGGTAATAATCTTTTTATTAACAAATTTAACGAAAGTTTAAGACCCTCTTATCGATTGCCTACTTTTTGTGTAGGCAGCTGTCATCGAACCTAAAAATGATCCGCCAGTCCCATTTCCTAAGAAACGTAAAAAAGCAACAGAACGGGTTTGTATTTTTGTTAATTAAATTAATTTGAATTACAGAACCATTCCTAATTTAGATAGCATGTTTAAAGGATCTAGTGCTGGAAGTTCTAAGTACGGTTCCAAGCCAAAGAGAAGCTCGATCATTCATTAAGCGTTTCACGATGCCTCTCAATGACCCAACACCCTATTCGAATATCAGTAAACCTTCTACCACACCAACCCCTTCCCAACCAGAACGGCAAGAATCCTCAATTCAACAAAAAGCACAATTCGTTGATTCCTTGTTTGCTTCACGATTTGAACATGTGGCCCTTATCAAGATCCAAGGACCATTCACCATTTTAGATTTAAGATCTGTGGCCAAAACATTGGTTCACCTGCAAAAATTGGGATTGATGTCCATCGCCGTTATAGATAACGAGGAATGGAAGGAGATGCTGAATGAAGGCCCATCATGTTTTAGTGAATTACGAGAACGGATGATGGGAGATGTAGCTAATATCTGTGAAGCGATCGAAAATGTAGACGGAAGAGCTGTGCCTATTTATAGTGGAGTATTCACTCTTAAGAATGGCCCCCAGAAGGGTAACAAGAAACCGCAGGTCTCAAGTCATGCACCGATGGCCGACGTCGGGACACAAATCGACGTTTCAGTGAGTTGGCTTAAATCGTGCCTTAAGCTGGGTCAAATCCCTCTCATACTTCCCATAGCTCTTGATGGATTATCAATACAAAGAACGATTTCTGCAAACGCCGGAATGATAGAACTATCACGCACATTATCCGATATATCCAACGCCAACTTGTTGAACTTGAAAACACCGCAGACTGAGCCCATGAAGATCGTTGTCATCAATTCAGAGGGTGGGGTACCGTCTGAAGAACGTCGAGGTTCACACGTTTTTATAAACATTCAACAGGAATATGAGGATATCAAACAAAGTTACAAGTCCAACCCTCAATGGGGGATTACACATCCCACAGGCCTTGAAAACTTCGAAATGATTAAGACTTGTTTGGAAAAACTTCCATCCACCTCATCAGCCATCATGGTTCCAGCCTGTTCTCCTACCGGATTAATATCAAATCTTATCACAGACAAACCATTGTTCTCATCTTCTTTGCCGCTAACCGCACCAACCACTCGTTCGACCTCCACTACGGTCATACGATATGGTACCCCGGTGCTTTTTCATAACTCATTGGATACCGTCAACATCTCAGCCTTACGTTCCCTGATTGAGAGATCGTTCGGGCGAAAATTAGACATGAATAAATACCTTTGTAGGTTAGAAAATTGCTTAAGAACAATCATTGTTGCCGGTGATTATCAGGGGGCAGCTGTGGTCACCAAGGAAAGTGTTGAAGGCAACGCGAGAGGCGATATCTCTTATTTAGACAAATTCGCGGTTGCACCGAACGCGCAAGGTATAGGAACGGCAGAAACAAACTTAGAGGTAGCAACCTCAAATGGATTGAACAGTTCGTTAACTACAACAAGGTCAAAACGATAAGCTGGGTCCAGATTTGCTCCACCAGCCATCGCAATGCACAGGGGAGACAGCCCCATTTCTATGAAGAAATCATCAGTAAGATAACTACAGGAACGCTTAACTCAAGCTTTATAACAAGATCGACAAATCTTTACCCAGGGGTCAACCCCTTCCACAATATGGTCTGGGCGGAAAGGTGGAGCAACAGATCCCTGAAAAAGCACAACTTAATCTGGATTGCTACTGAAGGAAATACAGAGGAGGAAGAAATACTCATAGGTAAATTAAGGAGAAAAGATATGAATACAATGACGGTCAGACACTACGCCCAGCAGTCATACTCAGCTCACATAATTCCATGCGTCGGATGTGACATGAATAAGTCAATCACTAATAACACTTGCATTGTAGAAGTGGCAAACAAAGACTCGATCGCAATTCCAGGAAGAAATAAGCAAAACACCACTGATCGTTATAGAGTCAGAGTGACAGAGCTCCTCACATCGCCACAAAGTATCAAAGCCAGGATGGATCACAGGAGGAGCCACGAATTTCAGGACTTGGAAGACATCCACATCCCCAGTCACATCCGCACAAAGGGTTGGACCGAATGGATTAGTGATAAGACAACCAAAGCAAAAATCAGCCAGCTTCAACAGAACATGGAGAAATGGCAGAGAGTCAAAGTCACAACGGATGCGAGCTGTTACAGGAGATTCCATACAATCGCCTTTCAGGTCGAAAACCTTGAATCCGGGGAAAAAACGGAAATCGCATCTTTTAAGATTCTACGAAGGACAACACCAAACGAAGCTGAGCTTAATGCAGTAATAGTAGCCCTCATATCTCTTCCACATGGAACAGAAGCAAGTATAAACACGGACAGTCAGATGGTAGCCACAGCACTAACAGTCAACAGAAACAAGAGCAAGATAGCGAGACTTACAGAATACACAAAAGATTTGTTGAAGCTAAAAGACATTAAGATCAATGTGACGAAAGTCCGAAGGAATGGAGACTTGACCACTGCCAAAGTAGATAGCGAGGCCAAGCGAGCAATACTCAAATGGCAAATCACATGTCTCGACATAACACCGCTCAATGGAAAAGAACTGATACTTGTATATAAGGATGAGCTCATCAACTCTAGTGCCAGGGAGGCCGTCCGGAACCACTTCAGGAACAAGCAAGTCACAGACTGGTATTGTTTAGAGAGGAACCAGGACCTCATGTTACTTAATGAAAGAATTGACTGGGAAGCAACGGTAGACTACTTACACTTTATAAAGATAACCGCAGGCCCGATAGACATGGAAGAGCATCAACAAAGGACTTTCAAACTAAAGTCCTGGGCACAGGAGCTCCCGACCATGGCCAAACTACATTCTAGAAGAAGGGATTTATACAAATCCAACAGATGCGTCAGGTGCAATGCGGCCACCGAGAACCAAA